ACAGACTCGGGGTGGAGTCTCCATTCTCCAGGACGCAAGGCTGCCGTGAGAGCGCATCGGCTGCACGGTTGAGCTTGCCTTAATATGAATGGTGTGCAGCGATTTCAGCCGCGGATAACTCCAGAGGAGCAGACGGCGGGCGAGCTGAGACATGCGGCGAGAGCGCATACCCCCTATACGGCTGATATACGCCACCGCCGCCGTACTGTCCGTCCTGACCAGCACGTGTTGCCGCTCCAGCACCGGAAAAAAACGGTGGAGAGCGAGGAACACTGCCAACAGCTCCAGGCGATATGCCAATGCAACTGGGTACCTTTCCACAGGTCCGCAGCCGCATGCCCGCAACGCACAGCCCCCCAGCCCGTGTTGGAAGTGTCTGCTGAAACGACAACAAGACTGGACGCCTGTTCTAGAGACACCCAGGTCTGTAGGAACGAGGGGTCGCTCCAAGGGCTGAGGGCGCGGCGACACAGCGCAGTAACAGAGACTCGGTGTGCGCGCGCGTGCCATGCGCGTCTGGGGACTCGATCGTGAAGCCAGTGCTGAAGTGGTCTCATATAGAATAATCCGAGCGGCATGAAGCGGCTGCGGATGCCATATGCCCCAGGAGCCTCTGAAATAGTTTCAGTGGGACCACTATTTTACTGTCGAGCTCTCTCAGACAGTACAGCATCAGCTGAGCGCGCTCTCCGGAGAGGCGCGCTGCCATGGTGACCGAGTCCAGCTCCAGCCCGAGAGAAGAGATCCTCTGCACGGGGGCGAGTTTGCTCTTTTCTCGGTTGACCTGAAACCCCCACAGGTGGAAGTGCCAGAGCACTTTGTCTCTGTGCATAATCAACTGCTCTGAGAGAGGGCAAAAATCAGCCAGTCGTAAAGAAATTGAGTATGCAGATGCCCGCGAGCCGAAGGGGCGCTGAGGCACCCTCCGCGGGCTTGGTGAGGACCCGCGGAGACAGAGAGAGCCCGAAGGGGAGGGCTTTGTATTGCCAAGCTCGACCTTCAAACGCAAACCGCAGAAACTGTCGGTGGCGAGGAAGAGTGGAGACATGGAAATACGCGTCCATCAGGTCTAATGCTGCAGACCAACCCAGAGGACGAACGCACCGGAGGATGCGCTTCTGCGTGAGCATTCTGAACGGCAGCTTGTGCAGGCAGCGGTTCAAAACGCGCAGATCTAGGATTGGCCGTGACCCACCGCTCTTTTGGGCACGATGAAGCGTGGGCTGTAAAACCCACTCTCCATCTCGGCTGGAGGGAGCGGCTCGATTGCATCCTTCGCCAGGAGGACAGCAATCTCCTCTCGCAAGACAGGGGCGGACAGGGGGCTGACCCTGGTGAATACACACCCGTGACTTGGGGGGCCGTTTCGCGAACTGAATTGCATAGCCGAGTCTGATTGTGCGTATGAGCCACCGCGAAGAGCTGGCCCGCGCTAACCAGGCAGGCAGAGCTCTCGCTAATGGACTCATCGCTACAATCGCTGACGTACCAGCAGTGGGGCAGCGCGGAGTGGGTGTGCTGATCCGGGAAGCTCGCGGGTCCCACGGAAAAGCTGGAGGTGAGATATTTGCTCTCACTCCAAACCCGAGCTCCGGAGGGGAGGCTCGAGGGGTGGGAGAAAGGAGACCGTCCTCCCAGCGCTCGTGAGCCACTGGCGAAACGCACCGAATCTGCAAGCTAGAAAGCATAGCGTCCCAGACTGGCAGATTTCGGGCTGTCACATCTGGGGAAGTGAAAAGTGCCCTTTCATAATGTTTTCATGGCAGTAAAAAGTGCCGTTGGAAATGGGGCCCCGCCCTCCAGCGGGGAAAGAGCAAGTTCCCTCTTCTCCAGATGGCCTGTCCCAGGGGCGCTTCGCGGTCCGTTGCCGGACTTAGCGGCGTTCTGGGCAGGGGGGCTGCCTGCTTCCGAGGTGCCCGACGCGCTCGCTTCGCCTGAGGCGTGTGCGGGGGCGGAGCAGCTCTCGTAGGCGGGCGCCTTCGGCGAGGAGCAGGTATGAATGGCACGGCGGGCGGAGCGGGCTACGGACCGCCGATAAGACATCACCCACCAACTGCTCTCTCACCGCCTTGAATTCCTGGGTGAATTCACAGACAGTGTCGCCGAACCTGGCTGGGGATATGGGGAAGTCAAGAAAGCGGACTTTGTCGACTTTGCGCATATCAGCCAGGGGTGGCGCTCCTGGACCACTAATGTGGACATCGTCCTCCCCAACGCACACGCAGCGGACTCAGTAGTCCGAAGAGCTAAGTCGGCGGCGGTGCGAAGCTCGTAAGCCTGGGTTGGACCCACCCTCGTGCAGCTCGGCCAGCGCCTGCGCTTGGTAGCGCTAGTAGGTGGCTATCGCATGCAAGGCGGAAGCAGCCTGGCCCGCAGCTATGTAAGCTCTAGCTCCGAGGGAGGTAGATAACTTACAGGCTTTGGATGGGAGACGAGGCGGATCCCGCCAAGAAGAGGCGCCGCGCGGATTTACCGCCATCGCGCACTCAACCTGAGGAATCGCCACATACCCCCTGGCTGTTTCACCGTCAAGAGTGGTTAGGGTGGAGGAACACGCAGCACGAGCAGAAAAAAGTGCTTTACAAGACCGCGTGAGCCTACTGTGCACCTCCGGGAAGAAGGGAACGCCCCTCTAGTCGGTCCGGCCGCGGAGCTGGGGGATAAACCATCTCCAACCCACGGCCGAAGCAGCCCGGGAAAGCACGGCTAACATGTCCGTTTCAGGATCCGTAGTGACAGCGCTCACCAGCCCGAAGGGGGCGAGCGGGTCTGGATCATCATCGGACAATGAAAGCCCACCCTCCGATGCCGCGGTGGACATCTGGTCTCCGGTGTCATCGGGCGTAAGGGCTACCATCTGTTAGACGGATCGCTTCCCCCGCCCGAAGCTTGGATGGAGCGCTTAGAGGAGCGGGAGGTCCGCGGGCCCGTGGGCGACGGATTATCTCTCGCTGAAACCCTCAGATCTGCCCGAGTGCCCGCTGCAGAGCAGGGGACAACTGGGGTGGTTCACCCTTTTGCAAAGGCTAACCGCGATCTTGCGCAACAGTCATGGCATCGCAATGACGACATGAACTGCCCGCGAGCAGCGCATTAACATGCTGGACCCCCAGACATGTAACGCAGTGCCCGCGCCCATCATCCGAGGACAGGAAACCACCGCATCCAGAAACGCACAGTCGGAGCGCCGTCCTGATAAGGACGTGCTGCACGACTGTGTTGCTCTTTCTGTGAAGTTTGCAACTTTATACGCACCGCTCTGGAGGACCGGACCCAAAGAACGCCAGGCAAGGGAGAAACCCAGCTCGACCGTCTGCCACTGCGTGTACACACTCTGGACCGGGAGAATGCTCTCGTTCGCTCAGAATCGCTGGTCACAGCAGGAGGAACCCTCATCGACTCGATCAGAAAGTCTCTGAAGCGAAAAGGATAGCGTCTGCTGGCGCCAGGTGAGCTTATATACTCAGTTGATTGCTTATGCCGCTCACCTGCGCAGGCTTGCGCTGCCAATTCATTCTTAATTGGCCCGTTCAATACTCTTTCAGACGAGTAGCTTCTGAACCGAACCTCCCAATGCGTGGATTTTACAAATCAAATCCACTTATAGTGCTGAAGTTCCCCCCGAAGGGGAACTTGTGATTTGGGTGCTAATGTATAAAGTCTGATTTGTGATTGAAGGATTCTTATGAGCCTGTTCTTTTGGTGAATCAGAACAATTGAATAAGAGTGGTTACTAAATGAATCTTACTGAATGAATGAGTCTCACTTACTAAACCCCAAGTCATTCTCTGTATTTAAATATATAAGTTATGCAAAGGTACATTTTGCATACATTATCCATAATGCAAATTAAATTTCATTTACATTTTTTTTACCCATTTGTCCACAAGATGGTTTTATCATTTAAAATACTGTATAACATTTAGTTTGATCACTGTTTTTAAAATAGGCTTTATTACAGTGAGTATGCATCAAAATAAGCTGTTAAATATTTATATCTGTTTATTTATTTTATTTATTTATATGCCGAAAAATGATTCAACTAGCATTGTTTAGCATTAGCATTGTCACTCAACACTGTTTGCATTATATAAGTTACTCTAAAATATAAATCGGGCTAAACATTAGAACTTGTGTTGTTCTAAATAGCATGCTTTTCAGTAACACTTAATTTTGATGGTCCATTTGAGTAGCAGTAGACTGTCTGCTTAATATCTGCTGATACTGCTCCTTCAACAGACATTTAACTGACTATGAGAAACTTTGTAGGTGCATGTCAACTTACACCAACCCCAACCCTACTTATAATCTAATGAGAATTAGTTGGCATGTAGATGCAATGTAACTTAAATTCAACAAATGGACCGTCAAAATAAAGTGTGACAGAGTGTGACCTGCTTTTCTTTCTTTTGTAGTCAATTTAAAAAAGATGACATTTGGAAGCATGTTGAAAACTATTGGTTTTCAACAATTTTCGAAATATGTTTCATTCTGCATTACAAAATAAAGAATAAAATCTATTTTGAAGAATGTTTAAAACCAATAGTACTGGATCCCATCTATGTTCACTGTAATATACTGTATAGTGGGAACCAAAAATGTTTAGTTTGCAACAGTCTTCAAAATTTTCTGTTTTTTGTCTATGAGAAGAAAGTGAGTTGGAAGAATTTAGAATGACAGAGTGAGAAATGATGACAGTTTTTTAATATTTATATAAATATATCAGTTATGCTGAAAAATGATTCAACTACTTTAATAAAGCCTTTATGTATTTAAAATAAAATGTGTACATTCAATTGGATGCAAACACCAAAACTAGCCCAAAACCAGCTTAAATTTGCATGCTTTGCTCAATCAGCATTGTTTGTGTTATATAAGTTACTCTAAAATATAAGTCAGGGTAAAAATGTTTCTTATGATACAAAAAAAAATTTGATTTATATTTCAGAAATACAGTCAAAACTTTCATTTCCGCCATAATAATAATTAAAAGTCCTTACCATCTGAGAACGACTCTTAGGGCATCCATTAATATCCTCAATCTTCTCATTTGCTGTGGTAAAGAAAAGAAAAAAATTAATTCTCCACAAAAAAGAAAATGTCCTTAGTAGTAAGCCTCAAGTGCAGTATGTCCTTTGTGAGTCTCTTTGCCGGACAGATTTTGACCCCTAATGTGGAAACTAGATCCAGTTTGAGCAACTGTGTGGCAGGGCCTGCTGGGATGCACTGCTCTGGGGCTTTCCTAAGGGTGTCTACTCTCCACCCTGCGTCCCGACAGGGATGGGACACAAACCCCTCACCCCACGGCAGCTGAAACAGGGCCGTTCAGCAGCCACAGCTGACGACTGCACACATGGCTACAATGACAGCTCCTCACTTTACCTCCTGCGCTGTGGGAAAAATGTGTCAGGAATGTGGAAGACGTCAGGTGAGTAAGCAAGAAAGGCAGACGGACTGTCTCAATGGAGGGAGAACCATTCGGGTGGCTGTCTTTCGAATAATTCATGATTTGATCTTCATCTTATCAACATCAATCTTTTCTGTACATGGTTACCAAAATACTAACTGTAGAGGAATAGTTAATCTAAAAATTTAATACTGTCCTTTAGAACTTGTGCCATTCTAAATTTACATGCAGTTCTTTTATTTGTAGAAAAAAAAGATATTTTGGAGAATGTTGAAAACCAATAGTCTTGGTTCCCATTGATGTTCACTGTGAATACGGTGAACGTTAGTGGAAACCAAGACTATTGGTTTTCAACATTCGGCAAAATATCTTTTTATTCTTTATTACAAAAGAAAGAATGAAATATATTTAGAAGAATGTTGAAAATTCAAAAGTAGAAGTTAGCGAGAACCAAAAATGTTTAGTTAGCAACAATCTTCAAAAATATCTTGTTTTGGTTCCTCAGAAGAAAGTGAGTTGGAAAAGTTTGGAATGACATGAGTGAGTAAATGATGACAATTTTAATGTTGGTTCCCATACACTTTGACTTTTAGAATGTTAGTCCAATGGAACTAAATGGGAATTAAAGCTGCTTAGATACCGAAAATGTGTGTTTGTGTGTGTGCGTGTGCATTTCGAATAACATGAGGGTGAGTAAATGATGGCAGAATTGTATAGTTTGCACAAAAGTTTTGGTTCTTACTAGGCAGGTATTTTTACAGTATTATTTGAAGTCAGTAGGAGCCAAAAATGTTTAGTTAGCAAAACTCTTCAAAATATCTTGTTTTGGTCCCTCAGAAGAAAATGAGTTGAAAAAGTTTGGAAAGAGTAAATGATGACAATTTAAATTTTGGTTCCTATATACTTTGACATTTAATGTTTGTCCAATGTAAGTCAATGGGAGCCAAAGCTGCTTAGATACCAGAATTGTATGTGTGCGAGTGCATTTAGAATGTCATAAGGATGAATAAATGATTGCAGAATTGTATAATTTGCTCAAAAGTTTTGGCTGCTACTAGGTTGGTATATTTACAGTTTTGTTGGAAGCCAATGGGAACCAAAGCTGCCTAAATTCCAAAATAGTGTGCTTGTGCATGCATTCTGAATGACATGAGGGTGGAAAAATGGCAGAATTGTATATTTATAATATATATATTAGTAGTGGTTCTTACTAGATTAGTACATTTACAGTTTTGTTGGAAGTCAATGGGAACCAAAACGGTTTAGTTACCAGCATTTGTTGAAAATGTGTTGTGTTTGATCTTCAGAAGAAAGCAAATCAGACAAGTGTGGAATGGAATTAGAATGATCAAATGATGGTGATTTTAATCTTGGGAAAAACAGTTTAAGTTTTGGTTCCTATATTGAGTTTTTATTTTTATTTTATTAATATAATAAAAGTCAATTGTCAGCAAAACTGCTTATTAACCAATATCCTTCAAAATGTCTTTGTGTATGTCTGTCTGTTTTGAACGATATGAGGGTGAGTTGATTAGAACAGAATTTTAATTTTATATAAACTTTTACATTACATTTTTTTTATTTCAGATTTTTTAAATTGTCTAATAAATTATATATATATATATATATATATATATATATATATATATATATCAATGCGGCATCTGTAGTTGCATTATTGAGTTTGGAATGAATTTATATCCCTAATTTTTTCAGACATTTTAAGCGGTGAGTTGATTAGAACAGAATTTTAATTTTATATAAACTTTTACATTACATTTTTTTTATTTCAGATTTTTTAAATTGTCTAATAAATTATATATATATATATATATATATATATATATATATATATATATATATATATATATATATATATATATATATATATATATATATATATATATATATATATATATATATATATCAATGCGGCATCTGTAGTTGCATTATTGAGTTTGGAATGAATTTATATCCCTAATTTTTTCAGACATTTTAAGTGTTCAAACACTTAAGGGAGACTCTGCAAGTTAGAAAGGATATCTAAAGAACAGCTTTACTGTTATGAATGCAAACATTTTCAAGATTTTTGGTCATCAGCCATCAGCTAGCATTAAAACAGAAATGAGTATGTGAAGTATGTCATTGCATGCAGCATTTGTGTCTGTCGGACAGGGCAGGTCGTGTTTCAGTTTCAATTGGCCAGTGTGTGATTCCCTGGAGATATAAAAACACAAGAGGACAAAGTGGGATGACCACAATATGTGTCATATAACACCACTTTGCCCTAGAACACTGTACTGTCTGCTGTTAAGTAGCCAAAAGCTTTCCGGCTCTTACAACACATTTTAAGAGGACAGAGGTAAAGAAAAAGAAAAAAATATAGAATTTTATGTCCAAGAGTTACTGACAGGGATCGCTTTTCTTACTAAGTACTTGTAAGAACAACAACAACAACAACAACAACAACAACAACAACAATAATAATAATAATACATAAAAAAACGCACACCACATTGATGTAATATTAGCCTACATCATATTTTAATCAAAATAATCTTACTATTAACACTTATAAATAAAATCAAATACTGTTTATTGGAAATATAATTTATTGTTTAAAACAGAAAACTGAAATGAAACTGAAATGCATATCTACAACAGCTTAATAAATTATAAATAATTTCAATCTTATAAATGAAACCTATAAATCTTGAGGACAGCTTATATATTACATATGTAATGTATTTTTAATAATTTAATTGTAATATTAATTCAATATTATTTTGTCAAAATAAATAAATAATGTCTATATTAAATGTTTTAAATATAGAGTAATATTATAGCCTAAAGGATTGCATTTTCAAACATGCATTTCCAGTATAATGTATTTTATTAAGTATATTGAAGTATACATTCTTAATATATACTTAAACAGACTTAATGTTTAAGTTTTACGTAATATATATGAGACATTCTACCAGAAACGTACATTTTAACTTATTTAAAAAAAAACAAAAAACAAGCATGAAATCATGAGATCCTTGATCACATCTTCCGCGTCATAGCCTTAAACGTGTATTGCACATATTTTATGTTAAATTTAATGCAAATGTGACAGGACAGACAGCAACATGGGGACAACTGTAAATTTATTTGCATTATACTGTATATCAGTAGTATTTAGCCTATTTGTAGAATTTGTTCATAATTTCATGTTTTTAATCAAGTGATGTGAATAACTTAACTTTGCTATTTCTGAAGTATTGTTTTTTCTAAATAACAGTTTTTAGCATGACAAAACTATTAAAGCTGTAGATTCAGTTTGGGTTGAGGACAAGGACAATGACAGGGTTTGCACAGTTGTGTTTTTAATAAAGAACAAATATCTGAGAACCAAATAAATGATTCCATTACAGAACAGCTCACAGAAATCAATCATCAGTACATTTTAGACATGTTTTGGGATGAAAATGTTTATTTCAGGGATAATGTACGTTTTAGAGTGTCCCATACTTAATACAAAATACATAACTTCATATGTATGTTATGTAGGCTATAATATGTAACTCTATAATTAAAACCTTTAATATAGACATTATGTATGTAACGCCGGCTATGTGCAGTAAATCGTTCATTAACTTGTGTGAAGAGAGAGTGAATCGCTCACCGATAACCTGGATGATCTCCGCCAGCAGCACGCCATCGCTCACATCCTGCTGCAGGTCTTTAATCAGACGCTTGTGTCCCGATTTGGCCAAGTAGTGATTCGCCCAGTCCGTGTAGATCTGTCAACGTGAGAGAGAAATAGAAAGTATCTTATATATTCATCCATCCATCAGGAAAAGTTTCAAACAAGTTGCATCCGCGACGCGCACTTTACGTAAGCACGTCTCTGGAGCCACGCCGGCTCCGCGCTCTATTCAAATCAACCCCATTGTGCCTTTATTCTGGTTATTCAGCACTAATAATGCTCAGATTCTCCCGTCTGACATCACAGAAAAGCCCCTTCAGTGGGGCAGGGGGAGGAGGGAGACCCCGGGGAGCTTAAATTAAACCTCTGAATGGGTCTGAAAGGAGTCATGTGTTGTTTGCTGTTTGGAGCGGCTCCGTCCAAAACAATCCCGCGTCACGTTAAGAGGCGGCAAAATGCTGTACAACAACCACTGAATGAAATACTTTTTTAGGTTGTAAACAGGGAGAAACTTTGAAAATTAACGTAATGTAAGCATTACTTTGAAACAAAAACATTACATTTGTTATTTTAAAAGCACATTTCCGCCTTAAAAAGGCATGGCGACTTCAGGATTTTGACATTATCCTCCTCCATCAGTCATGTCTGATTATTTTTCCTCAAATAGGGGGACAAAATCCCAAATGTGAGTTTATATCTCTATTTTGACTTAATTTTATCCCACAGAGTTGTGAGCTGATAACTATTTTGAGGGGGGAATGTCAGAAATGTGAGATGTTAATATATTTTCTCTCAGTTATCTCATCTTTTTCCCATCAAAAGCTTCAAGTTCTGATATTTTTTTTACTCAAAATACTGTGTTTAGCTCACAATCATAAGGGAAAAGTCTGAACTGAGAGCTTTTTAACGCATCTGACTTTTTTTCTCTCAGATCTATGAGCTAAAAATATGTGAAGAAAAAAAAGTCAAGATCTTATAGTTTATCTCACTATTCTAAGCTTTTCCCAGATTTTGGTTCAATTTAAAGTGTGTTTATAAACGTTTCAGAAATTAGTTGACATTACATTTGTTTTAAAGATCTCTTGCTTTTCTCTAATTTTAGCTTTCTTGCTTTTTCAAAAGAAAAGTCTAAATTGTGAGGTGTCAATTTTTATTAATTTTTTTACTCAACGGCGTAAACCATTTATACATTTATTACTTGAATTACATGAATCCCTTCCAGTTATTATCACCAGTAACAGTCCAAGCCTTTTTACGTAACAGTTAAAGATATTTGTTGTAATATTATTTTAATGTTTGTAGTTATTTTCAAATAGCAGCCAACAAATGAATAATAAGCTGCTTTTGTGTTGCAGGTTTATTTTACCAATTTAATACCACAGTGTTTTCCACCTGGACTCCACAGTTTTACATAAAAATAGCATCCCATAAACATCACAGTTTACTTAAAGTCTGGAGAGTTGCAGGCTTTACATAAACAATCAAAGGCCAGGCAGTGGTCAAACACCTTCCCACACGGGGGGCTGGAGAGCTTGTGTGGTGTTTCATGAGTAAATAAAGACCAATGGTATTACTGCAGTGTTACTCATGTGAGGAATCAGCTTAGATGGGAAATAACAGGTGCGCCACGAGTCCATGCACCATCAAAATAAACACACACTCTCCCTCAAACGGCTCTCGCTAGAGTCACTTAGACTTAAAACAACTCGCAAAGCCCCTATAATTACTGACAACCAAAGCTAGTGGAGAAATACGAATCCAACTCAGGCTTTGAAGTTTTGCGGGCAAAATGAGTCAAATGTAATTGAAGGTGAGGTGAAGACAAGGAAGTGAAGGTAAGGGTAAACATGACTTCAAGATGTAATGCTGAGGAAATTACAGATGACACTCGTCTGTCAAACTGAACCGGGTCACCACCATATAACCCCTACATCATCTTTTCATGGCAAGAGAAATGAGGTTATATTTACTATAAGGTAATTATTCCTTTGTGGTGTAGACTGCATTAGTGCCTGACCCATACCAACCAACACTTCCATTTTTTCCCCAGGAGTCTCCCATATTTCAGTATCCCATATTGGCTCTCTCCATTTTGTTTTGTTTCTTGGGAAACTCTCATAATTTGTAAGGCCCAATCTAGTTATTAAAATCAGTTTTTGACCATTATTAAGTTCCCAGATCTTTCATGAAGCTCATTACCTCACACAATTAACAAAATATTAAAATCTTGAAGCATTTTTACCTCATTCTGGCAACATTACAGTCCAGTTGCACTGTTTATTTCTGCACAGGTTTTAGACATGGGATTTGAATGGTGGCAACCAAAAGACAAATGTTATTTTTGACATGCAAATTTTGTAATGACAATTTCAGCAGTGATGGTTCTGAATCTATTTTCCACTTAAAGAACTATAATATGTTAAAGAATTATTATTAATAAACCAACCAGTTATGAAATCACAACAATATAACCTTTTTAAAGCCAAGAAGTGTAAGAAAATCAGGTAAAAGTACAAATGTACAAGACTGTGTACTTTAACATAGCTAGCGTCAATAAAAGAAAGAAAGAAGTGCAATCTCATGGACTAGTGTAAAATTACAAATAACCAGGGCTCTCAGGTCTCATTAAGGCCTATTCACCGTGAGATAAACACATTTCAGCTCATTCACACATCACATCTTTTATTTCCAACAACGAGTTGTAATGGATAACTTGAGTCGGTATATACAATTAAAGTACAAAACGCACATATGGAAAGAGCTGGAGTTACCGATCTGATGTTGGAATTTAATGTGGCTGCTATCAGGTAAATTGTCGCTCAGTGCAACAGTCTACCAGACATGGCAGAATAAAAGCAATAAAATGTAACCCACTGGTGTTAGAACAGATATAGGACAACATAAAAAAGGATAAGCCTACTGAATTAATAATGTATGTTAACATAAACAGGGCAACTTAATAGTGAAATAAATCATCTTGAATAAATCCCCCATTTAACAGTCATGGAGAGTAACTTTCAGTGAAATTTTGGCTTTAATTGTTTATTTATTTTATTATTATTATTAGTATTATTATTATTATATAAGACTATAGTATGCAATTTGGTAATAAATATTGTTAAATATGATCTTTAGTCTGCGCCAATAGCCTAGTGGTTACGCCCTATTCACACCAACGGAAGCGTCAGCAAATCAGATCGCTGTATGCAAATACACCAACTCAGACAGTGGCCTATTGCTGACTGGATTTCATTGGCTGACGCTTTTATGACGATTGCTTCAGCCCCAACTTCAGACACGCCTTCAGTCAAGCGTTGACGCTGAAGCCCCGTGTGAATAGGGCGTTAGTGCGTCGACACATAGCACTGAGGAGCTCGCAGCGACCCGAGTTCGATTCCCGTCTCGAGGTCCTTTGCTGATCCTTCCCCTATTTTTGCTCCCCACACTTTCCTGTCACTATATCGCCACTGTCTTATCAATAAAGGTGAAAACCCCTAAAAAATTATTATTTTAAAAAATATGATCTTTAAATGACAGCTAGCTAGATTATTGAAGAGAAGTTGATTCTTTACCATTTTATATCCTGTAATTATGTAATTATAAGCTATTAACTTTATATCAACCTTTGGTGACTGTTTTATAGATTGTGGCCTAGTAAGTACACATAAATGGTTATTGCAAACACATTAAAAATTATAGTTTTATTTTGTGTAATCATGCCGTTTTTCCCACCGTTTCTCTACTAACCATGATGCTGCCATTTCAGGTGTGTTTTTATTGTGGTGGTAAAAAAATAGTTTAGTCATGTGAATCAACAATGCAGAAATGGCTGCTGATGACTATATAAATACAAAAAGTTTGGTGTCTTATGTCACAACATCAGTGATGCCTATAGTGAGGATTCACCCTGACCAATTGATGATCAGCAGTGTGTATATGTGTCTTTAGACAACCAGCTACAAGAGAAAAATCAAACTAGTGAGTGTTTTAAATCAGATGATCAGATGTGCTCCAACATTAGAAACATTCAAATCAAGACTTAAAACACAATCTGTTGAGCTGTGCCTTTACTGAATGAGCACGAAAAATCACACTATTATGTCTTTTATTTTTCTTTTCTGTTTTTCATTCTTTTATAACCTGTTTTAACTCATTTTAATCAGTTTTTAATCACTTTTATTATTCTTTTTCTTATACTTTTCTCTTTTATACCTGTTTATGTAAAGCACTTTGAATTGCCTCTGTTTATGAAATCTGCTATATAAAAAAACTTGCCTTATCTAGCTTAAATAACAGTATACAGTGTTGTGAAAATTATTGAGTTCAGTAAAATGGTACCAAATGGTAGGGTTGCATGATATTGGGGAAAATATGATATTGCAATGTTTTGTATTTCTGCGATTTATATTTTGCGATAAGATCATTTTATTTGAAAAGAATTCAGAATTTAAAATTGATTGAAATTATTAAGCAAGTGTATCTGCATAAAATTATAAAAAATATATATAAAATAAATTTAAAGCACAGATGAAATCAATAAAACAAAGATTAAAAATAAATAAACAGAGCTTTATGGTGGAGTCTAACAGTATTGAGGTACAGAAATCCAACAATACATTGTAAAATAACGCTACAGTCTTTGTTGTATAAACACAATTAATCTTTGTTAAAGTGGCAACGTGTATGATTTCTTTTGTCTAAATGGTTTAAATTCACTTGAAATTGCTTAACATCACATGATGTGACAATTGAAGATTCACTCTTTGCAATATCGATGCTGAAACAATAGATTGTGCAGCCCAACCAAACCATACTGCAATTTTAAAAACGTCCATTTTTTTTGCTAACATTTGAGCTCTGTTGTGAGCATACTTAACACCGCTGACTGGTTATTGTGTTCACATGCTCAACAGAAATGACTATGATTGGCCGTAAAGGTCAAAATATTAGTTCTGGTAATCAGTATCATGACAAAACTACGAATATTAGATGTCTACTATGTACCAACAGCTTTTGCCAAATGTAATATGCAGTAGTTGTCAATAAAAACAAATTGTAGCATAAATTCAAATCTAAAAGAAAATACTGACATCA